TGCACTAAATTGGGCAAATTTGAAGATGATATTCCTGTTGATTACAATAAGTTATGGCCAGGCTGTACAACAGTACCGCCGACAAGCAAACGGAAAAAGATTTGTGAGCCGCATCAAGGCGTCAGAGCCTTGTAGTCGATACTGTGGGTGAATTTCCGAGATTCGATCTTGCAGGATGGGGAAGAACAATGTTTCCTGGGGGAATAGTAGCTGGGGGGCAGAAGCGCCTCAATCAACTCTTGCCCACTTAGAGAGCAGTGTGAGAAAGAACCGAGAGGAGAAAGGAGCAGAAGAGTGAGATGCCCCAGTTGTGCACAGCAAGCTTAGACTGTTGAAATAGATTTCGAACAACTGTATCAAGTAGACTCTCCAGCAGTGTAGTGAAATGGACACAAGCATGATGAGTGAGAGAGAGGACGAGAGAGGAGAGAGAACGCAACCTGAGATCGAGATAAGATGAGAGAGGAAGAGAGGAGAAAGGGAAGACGAGGAGGAGAAGAGACCTGATGATAGATAGATAGATAGATATATATATATAGATTAGATAGATAGTATAGATAGATAGATAGAGAGAGAGGGAGATATGACGAGAGGAGCGAAAAACACACACAACACACACACACAGACGAGAGGAGCACCGAGAGAGAGATGAGATGAGAGGAGAGAAGAGAGTAGAGAGATAATGAGGGAAATGAAATTCCCAAGCCATGATGTAATCCCAATGCCAGACCCACCCATCAGTGAGCTGAAAAGTGGGAAAACTGCTTAAGACTAAGGGTAAACCTATAGCACTGGGCTTGCATACTATCTTGGCTGCCATCTGTCAGTCTCTTTCCATTCCCTTTGACCTATTGAGGGGTGTGGTCTTCCCTCTCTAAAAAGGGAAAGGGTATCATTGGGACTGTAGCTGCTACTGAGCCATCACAATGCTCAGAATACCAAGTAAAATTTCCACCCACATTCTTCTGAAATGGATCCGCAACCACCTACTAAAGCACCAAAGCCTGGAGCAATCTGGATTTACTCATGAAAAGTACGCAATAGACCATATCCTAGCACTTCGAGTTATTATGGATTGCTGTCGTGAGTTCAGCCGTGGGCTGCTTGCAGCCTACATCAACCTCAAGAAGGCGTTTCACATGGTATATCATGAATTGATATTAGATCCTGAGACTTGGGGGAATTTGGATAAGGATTATTGGTTTAAAAGCAAGCCTACATTCTGGAGCTGTTAGTGCTGTAAAGTGCGGTGGGGGCTTGCCAGGCTTCTTTCCTTTTAACTCAGCTGTGAGGCAAGTTGTGTCCTTGCACCAACACTTTTTAACACTTTCATGGACTGGATAATGGGCAGAGCTACTATCCAAAGTCACTGTGGAGCAACACTGGGCAATACCAAGATCACAGACCTCAACTTTGCCGATGATGCTGCCATCCTATCACAGTCTCTGGACTACCTGGTGGCAGCTCTTGATGCATTCAGCAATGAGGCAAAGCCCTTGGGCTTAGAGGTTTCCTGGACCAAGATCCAAGATTTGGGGGACCAGATAGGACTTGTTCAGACCAGGAAGTTAGTAGATAGTGTGATCTGGCAGCAGGAGCCATGAATTCAATCAACAAGAGTATTTGGAGGTGCTGGTACCTATGCAAAATGTCTGTTACATGTCTTCAAGGCCTTGATAATGCCAGCTTTGCTCTATGGAAGTGAAACCTGGATGCTATCTAGTGCCTTGGACTCGCATCTCGATGCCTTTTGTAGCAAGTCTCTATGCTGGATCATGAGGTACAGTTGGCAAGACCATGAGTCCAACCAATGACTATACTGTGAGACTGGCATGGGACCTGTTTCTTGCAAAATCTGTGACCACCAACTCAGGTTATACCGATACCAAGCTCGTTTCCCTGTGGATGCCCCTCCCCATCAGGTTGTCTCTTTCCAAGAAAATCCTGTATGGAAATGACTTAGGAAGACCTAAAAAGTCATAGCTTGGGCAGCTTGACCAGACCTGTTTTGAAGACCTGCCTGGCAATTTGTCATGAAGGATCCTATGGATGGAAGTGAAGGATGGATGTGGCTATGCGCCCCCATCAGCAACAGCTCCTTTGATGATGATGATGGATTTTGTGAAGTGGAGTTGGGGCTGAGAGTATAGCGAGTGTGTCCATACTGTAAAGACTTACCAAGACTTATTGACCTTGATCTGTGGACTATAGGTATCTGGACCATGGTAATTGCACAACCTGATTATCTAAAGTTTACACAGATCTAATTTTGATTTTTTTTTCTTTCTTTCTTTTTCTGAACCTGTTAAGTGTCTCCCATCAGTTATACCATTTATCCTTTTCATTCCCATTCTGCACTCAACAGCATATACAGATATTAACTTTAAAAGCCTCTATGAAGCTGTCTCCAACTGCATATAACATTTACTCAAATAGAAAACCATAAGAACATCATCTGAGTATATTTGGAAGTTTGTTGGAACTTTTGCTTAACCATTGTTTGTTGGACCTTTTGCTTAACCATTGTTTGTTGGATTTTTGCGTATGTATGTGCATATTACTATTGTTTGTTGCATATTACTATTGTTTGTTGGATTTTTATGTGTGAATATTACTATTGTTTGTTGGATTTTTATGTGTGTGCATATTACTATTGTTTGTTGGATTTTATATTACTATTGTTTGTTGGATTTTATATCTATTGTTTTGTTGGATTTTTATGTGTGCATATTACTACTGTTTGTTGGATTTTTTAATTATTATTATTTTATTTTATCTTATTATCTTTTTTTTTTTTACATTCTCTGATCTTTTAATTAAATTTTTTGTCTTTTGGAATTAAAAGAAATTAAGGTATATGATTATTTTGGTATTTGTTACAGAGAGCTATGCACCCTCCCAGAGACAAAGCTAAAAAAATATTGATGTATTTCTTCTGCAAATGAGTCTTTCGTGAGATCTGGTAACATTTCTCCATCGACGATCTTGATTTGTTAGTCCCATTAGCAGGGGAGGGCATGAAGTATATCAGGGAAATTATGGAGTAAAACAGGCTTAAAAAATGATAAGAAATGCGTAAAACTAACACAAAAAAACACTTAAAATCTGCCAATTAAACTCTACGGATATAACCGCCATCTCTAAAATTCTACTGACTGACGCACCAGAAATTAAAAAAAAAAAACTCTATGGGAAACACACCTTTCGGGAAAACTCTATGGGAATTCACACGTTCCAAACCCCTAAAAACGTATTGACCTAATAACCAACCTAATACTCCGAGGGGAGGGTTGATGGGGTGGCTCTGCCCCCCAACTGCCCCAGGACACATTCTCTTCACCTCGGTATATATGGCAAGATAGAGCTGCATTCACACCATAAAATCATAAACCAAATACCTTTATATCCGGAAACATCAAACTTTCATTGCTTCTTTGTACCATCTGGATTGCTTCAATTTTAATCACCTTTATCGTCACTTGGAGCTCTTGATGGACCCAGATATAAAACTAGGATGGTTACTAAAGTCTAATTATTCTTCGATGCCAATGTAAAAGTCTTAAAAATAACCCAGAATCAACACATCACTGGAAACACAACATTTCTAACCAGTGTTTTACCACTGTGAGCTGTCAATCTAGCAGCAGGAGCAAGAAAATGTGAAACACTCGATGCACACGATTCTATATGAAAATATATATATATATATATATATATATATATATATATATATATATATATATATATATTAAAATATACAAATGAAGTATAATAATATTAATAAAAGACTTTAAAGGCATAACTGTGTAACAGCAGACACTGATATTAGCCAAATATCGTTTTGATAAGCGCGTAGTAACACACAGACTAGTTCGGACATCACAGTAATGAGTAAATCAGTCAGTGTTTAGTTATTCCTGGCAACGTATACAAGTTACTTGACAGATTTTGTGTGGAGACCACGCGTTATATTTTCATCATTTAGCGGTGACTATAAGGCCGCTGCAGCTTAAACTATGTTCTATCCCACTCTATTTCTTACGCTCTATAAGATCGCAGTGTCCATTTCCCTCTATCTATGCGTGTCAGTGTTTTGAATTTATACCATTATTTTTTCCCCCCTAATTTGAATAGGTATATTTATGTAAAACTGGATAAATAAATGATTAAAAAATACAAGAATCATTAAACAAAGGCAAATAAATTATAAGAATATAATAATAGCATAAAAAATATTCCTGAAGCCCAGAGAGGGCGAAGCTTCGGAAGCACCCAATCACAGAGGGTGACGCTTAACAGGTTAAACCTATTATGCCAACACAAATTGCATGAAATCTAAATTTGGTATAAACCGCTTTTCCATCTTCTTACAGAATATGGAAAAGGTAATTTCCATAAAGATAGCACTTGGTGGTAGCATTTTGGGTCTCATTTATATCGTTTAAGTACTACACCCATTAGTCTCAAACCAGTCTGCAGAGTTGTAGCCTTTTTCAATTTCTCAAGTATGCACAAGCACAATTTCAAGTCTACATGTATATTCAAAATTTTGTGTGCACTTCATATGTACACACAATTGTTGGCATACTACTCTGTTTTGATTTTATCTTTATACTGTTCAACTTATAGTTCAGTTTTGTTTACAATTTGTCTTTATTCTACCATATTTCATATTCTAATTATACATTAGAATTATAATATAAAGGCACTGGTGCAACGCCCCTTTACGCAATATCTAATGACCACACCCTTTCTTAAAAGTGCACCAACCAAAGAGGAAAGTTATCATGAGAATGCACTTGCGCAACTCTGCAGACCAAGTCTCGGGAGAGTGCGATCATTTTGTATACAATCTGCAATACTTTAACATATGTCGTTTCCAATGGAAAACAAGATTCACACATATTACACTATTAATAACTGAAACAAGAAACTAACTGCAAGCTTGATCGACTGTGTGAAACTAAACCAAAATTACCATAACATCAACAAATACTTACTTCCGTGGCCCTTTTGTTGCAGGATGCGGGCTCCAACCTCTCCTCCACGAATATCACATCACCCCTTACGTCCCTAAATACCAAGGACTCCATTATCAGAAAATCATCTAACTATGGCACTGCAAAACCTTTCAAACGAGCGCAAAGGCCGGTTTCCATCCCCGCTCTTCCGCCAGTCTCTCGGCAGAATCATCAGCCTCTCTCATCTATTCATTTGTGAAATCCCTCTCATCTTGTTATAAACATGCAGGGAAACACATCTAGTCGGAAACTGTAATCCTTCTGGTGGCGAGTGACGTATCATAACAAATGTAGACTGTACATTGCAACTTCTTGTACACTGCGAATGTTGCAAGTGCCTGTGTTGTTTGTAAACAGTTAAGATCAGGGATCGTGAGGTGAAAGTATTATTTTTTGGAAAGTCATATATATATATATATATATATATATATATATATATATATATATATATATATATATATATATATATATATATACATATATATATATAATATATATATATAATATATATATATATATATATATATATATATATATATATATATATATACATATATATATGTATATATATATGTGTGTTACATGTATACACACACACGTGTGTGTGTGTGTGTGTGTGTGTGTGTGTGTGTGTGTGTGTGTGTGTGTGTGTGTGTGTGTGTGTGTGTGTGTGTGTGTGTGTGTGTGTGTGTGTGTGTGTGTGTGTGTGTGTGTGTGTGTGTGTGTGTGTGTGATAATAATATAATAATCAAAATGATAATAATGATGCTAATAATGATGATGACGATAATAATAGAAATAATGATAATAATGATGATGATGCTAATAATAATAGTAATAATAAGAAATAATAATAATGATAGCAATAATAGTAATTATAATAATAATGATAGGGAAACATGATAGTAACAATGATAAGGGAAAAATAATAGTAATAAAGATTATATTAGTAATGGTGAAGATACTAATAATATTAACGATAATGACAACAATGAAAATTATAATAATAACGATGATAATTATAATAATGATGATAATATAACAACATAATAATAATAATAATAATAATAATAATAATAATAATAATAATAATAATAATAATAATAATAACAATAATGATAATAACAATAGCAATAATGATGATAATGATAATAACAACAATAATCATTATTATCATTATAGAGTAATATTAATAACAATGCAAGCGATAAGAATAATAGTAATAGCAATAATAACAGCAGTAATGATTATTATGATTCTTACTATCGTTATTACTATAATAACAAAATTAATAATGCTGATTATAATGATAATAACTATAATAATAGCAATAAAAATAACAATAAAAATATTTATAATAAAGATTATAATGATAATAACCACAATAATAACGATGATAATAGTGATAATAACACAAATACAAACAATAACAATAATGATGGCAATAATGATAACAACAATGATAACAGAAACAATGATAATAATGATAATAACAATAGTAACCATAATGATAATAATAACATTAATAATAACAGTAATGCTATAGATAAGTTATAATGATAATGATATTAGTAATAGTAACAACAATAACAATAGTAATAATGACAAAGATAATAATGATGCTGATGATAATGATAATAGTAATAATGATAATAATGGTCATAATAGTAATAGTACTAATAATGACAATAATGATGATAATAATAACGATAATGACAATAATAAGTGATAATAATAATTACCATTAGTATGATAATGATTATAACAACGATAATAACAACAATAAAGATCAAAAGAAAACTGAAAATAATAATAATAATAATAATAATAATAATAATAATAATAATAATAATAATAATAATAAAAATAATAATAATTAATATAATAATAATAATATAACAATAAAATATTATAATAGCAGTAATGATAACAATGATTATAATAATGATAACCATGATAATGAAAATAATAAAAATTACAAAAAAATGATAACGGTGATACTAATACTACTACAATAATAATGATACTAATAAAGATAGTAACGATAATAATCATTATCATAAGAATAATGATAATGAGATTCCAATGAGTGATGAAAGAAAAGACAACGTAAACCCAGTCGATCTGTGCGGAGGAGACGAGAGCGTGGCCAAAGGCAAAGCAGCAGGAAATGACGAGATAGCTGCTGAAATGCTGAAATGGGAGGCGCTGGTGCACAAAGGCTCCTTTTCATTCCCAACAAGATTTTCACATCAGGACGGCTACCAACAGGCTTCTATAGATCGATCTTCGTTGCCAAACCAAACAAACCAGTGGCTACACAATGAAAAAAAGATCTTCGTTGCAGAAAAAAACAATGGTTGCATAATGAAAGAGGACGCCGTGCAATCGGTCTCATGGCTCACTTCGGTCAAGCTACGATTGCGGATAATCTTAGCTAGAATCTGGGACAGCCTGGACAGCGAATTTGCCGGGGGGC